TTTGTCATGGGTGTGAATCACACCGAGTACAAGACTGAGATCAACGTACTTTCTAACGCATCCTGCACCACCAATTGCTTGGCCCCGTTGGCTAAGGTGGTACACGAGGCTTTTGGCATTAAGGAGGGCCTAATGACCACCGTCCATTCCATGACTGCAAACCAGCTTACTGTCGATGGCCCTTCCCGTGGTGGTAAGGACTGGCGAGCCGGCAGAGCTGCTGGTGTCAACATCATCCCCTCGTCCACTGGAGCTGCTAAGGCTGTGGGTAAGGTCATTCCTTCGCTGAACGGAAAATTGACCGGTATGTCGATTCGTGTGCCTACAACGGATGTGTCCGTTGTTGACCTGACTTGCTCCTTGGAGAAGGAGGCTACTTACGATCAGATCATGGAAGCGATTAAGAAGGCTGCTGACGGACCCTTGAAGGGCATCTTGGCTTACACCGATCATGATGCTGTATCTACCGATTTCATTCATGACAAGGCATCGTCCACTGTTGACATCAAAGCTGGCATTTCCCTCAATCCCAGTTTCGTGAAGCTTATCTCTTGGTATGACAATGAGTGGGGTTATTCCAACAGACTCTGCGATCTCGCTGCCCACGTTGGCAAGACTTGCGGTTTCTAGAAATTTAATTTTTCCAGATTTTTGCGTTATTTTTTCCAAACCAAAGGTTAAGGAACCAATAGGGTTTTATCGGACACCTAGTTCACCAAAATGATTTAGGTTGAAATGCACAAGGTGGGTTATTTATCGTTTCCAGATAGATTGACAACTTCGGCTAGATGGTTGATAAGCGTATCTGTGTGTTCCAGGACGGTATCGAAACATACATCGGCCGTCATGGGCTGGTGCACTAAGCAAACGAGGTTGGGGCCGATTAGCTTCCTGACAATGGCCGAGCTGACGATCCTCATCATTCCAGAAGAGTTGATGACCACTACAGCAATCTCATCGCCAGCCTTCTTGGAAACATGTTCGAGGATATCTGGTTTGGTGAGGTGTCGTGCATTGCATCCTTGAGCAAAGCTGTCCACGAGAGCGCTGCTCGAAAGGAGAGAGGTATCGACTATGATCTAAGAACCAAAATTATTGCTTTCAAGGGATGAGAACGAGGGACCAAGAGTGGAGCAGGATGGGGGAGGGGACGGGAAGGATTGCAGTGACCCTTCTTATCGACGCCTTCCTCCTCCCCGAGGCCTTCTTTCTCCCCAGGTCTTCTTCGGCACAGCTTGGTAGGCACGAGAGACAGGAAACGTACGGTTACGATCATAATCAATGTGGAAATTCAGCCAGGCAAATTAGATAGAGTGTCTGACGGCTACCGAAGGCGCTAGCTAGGTTCACCACCAGGTTAGTGAGTTACACTGATTCCATATATATCGTGACCTAATTCACTGCGACCTAATTCCCAGTCCTGGTATGTGTTTGCAAACCTACGGGTATGTTCTGGGCGTCGATTTCTCGAGCCAGGGGAGACCAAAAGTGGCTTGTTGATGCGGAGTGGCTTGCCAGCACCGATTGGCTCGTCACACGCGGAGTGGTTCAGAGAGTGCTGGCGGGGGGCTGGGCCTCCTGGAAGAGTGTGCTAGGCAGGGCGCACTGGAGGAGAAGTTTGGTGGCTGTATGGCTGATGAGGTCGTTTTTTTCGCTGCAGGTGGGCAATAGGACGCACTCAGGGCAGCCGTCGGTGCGGTCGGCGGTGGCGCAGGGGCAGGCGAGGAGGCAGGAGTAGCACTGATATAGCATGCATTGAGCTAGGTCTTGAGTGACGGCATCGACGATGCCGAGACTGAGGCCGGAGGCTCGTTCGTAGACAAAGGCGCGTGGAAAGTGTGTGCCAGGCAGTACGGCGTAAGCACCTGTGCAGTTGCAGTTGATTTCCTTCACATCGCACCAGACGGTGGCCGCGAGCGCCTTGAGCAACAGGTGCGACAACCCGTGCACCGCCACCGTTGGTACGTACGTCTCATGCAAGTGCGAAGGCAACCGGGCAGCCGCCAATCCTCGCACGGCACCAAACCTTTTCCACACGACGTCCGTTAATCGCCACGCTAACCCACGTGTCACGAACGCTAGATCTGGAATCGCCAACGGCTCCTTTTCCACCCGCCGCCCCCCCGAACCCACGTATACGCGGTAGTAGTGTGGCACAGTCACTCGTACCCGCACATCCCCGCAAAAGACGTCACAAACACCAGATAAAGTTTCACCGCCAAACGCCCTTCCCAGTGGAGTCTCTCCCAGCGGAGAAAACCTTTCCGAAGTCTTTCTCACAGGGGACGTCTCTGGGTGGGGGCGGAGGCTGACTTGGTAGTGGTGGCTGACGCTGATGACGTCCCAGTGGGTGGAGTCTCCGGCCTTGGTGTAGTGACGGACGATTTCGCGGGGCTTCTGAATGACGGCGTACTGGCGAGTGGGGTTGAATTCCTTGACCACGTATTTGACGCCACGGTGAGGGTAAACGGCGCCGGGGAAGAGCGTCATGAAGGCGTTGACCATCTCGACTTCGTCGATTGGTGTGGCACCCTTGACCACGTCTGCAAACAGTCGCTGGTCGGATTCGTCCAAACGGCGGTCTTCCAGTCGCCAGTCTCCCGCCAAGTAGCCGCCTCCTCCGCCCTGGATTTTGCCCACGACGTAGACCACCACGTTCGGGATGGCTGTGGCGCGAAGGTCCACTAGCTGGTGGGGGTCTTTGAAGGCCGTGGCGGCCTGTGCAGATTGACCTAGCAACTCCTCTGCGAACACACACACGCCCTCCTCCTGCTTTTCCACGTGATGCAACTTCGCCTCCGAGCGCTCCGCGATTTGATACAAATCCGCTAGCGTCGGACGGTCCGGCTCCGGCTCCTCCCCCGCTCGTCGTTTCCGCGAAAGAAACGGAAACATACTCTCAATGTCCAGCTCCTCCAAGTCCGTCCCCAGCACTGTCTCCACCGTTGTCACCGGCACTCCGCCGCCGCGACACAGACTATCCAAGTCCAATGCCTTCGCCTCGTGGTCCGCTCGAACTCCTCCACTCGTTTTGGCCATTATCAACGCTCTACTGGTCACGGCGAACTTGTAACTACGACAGACAGAATACCCCCGGTGTGCCTCCCGTCAGGCGTATGGGTCAGGCCCTGTGTCAATACTTACTATCCGTGCGCGACTTGTCTTATCTCTCCCGTGTTCTCTGCGACCTGAATGGCGCCCAATACTGGTGGGCCAAAAACGGCGGTGAGTACCTTGGTGCTGATTGGCGTGTTGATTTCCTTGAGTGCACACAAGAGGTGTTGTTTCAGCAAGATGACGTTTCCGGGATTGAGTCCTACGGGTTCAGGCGGCTTGCGCCAGAAGTCATTTTTGAGCACCTTGACGACGTAACGCTCGACCGGCGAGTCGAAGGCGACCAGGAAGCCGATGCTCGCGCGATTGTCGGCACGGCCAGCACGGCCAAGGCGTTGTTTAACGCTACTCACGCTACCTTCAAATCCCAGCGTTATGACCACATCCAGTAGCCCCAGGTCAATACCCAACTCCAATGCGTTCGTCGTAATAACCCCGATCACCTCATTCTTGAACATTCTCGATTCCAGCTCACGCCGGGACTCCTTTGTATAACCACCACGGTAGTTGACTACACGGTTATTGAAAGGCAGCTTCTTCGTAACCTCGTTGTATATAATCTCCACCAGACTCCGGCTATTACAGAACAAAAAAGACCGCACATTCTGGTCCACAAAGTAGCAGAACAACCTAATCGAATCCTGAATTGCAGACTCCTTCCTCTCGACCACACCGGCCGAAAAGGTCTCCGAAAATGACATTAGATTCGACGTTCCTACTACGGCATCCTCCGTAATGGACGCACCAACAAGGGACAGACCGGGCGCCGACACAACCCGTTTCGGCAGAACCTCAGGGAAGGGATGAGTGGAGAGATCGGACTTGGTTGACGACCGCTTTGGCGTGAGTAACGTAGACGCAACCTTTGGAGATATCGTAATGGGGAGCTTCCTCGACACACTAGTGGCATTGCCATGGGGGGCTTCATCGACGTGATGCTGCACCACAGAAGGGTCCCAAAGAACGTAGAACTTCTCCCCGCTCGGGGCGCCATCATGAGTAATGGACACACACTGGCGCCCTGTTAGAAGCTCAAAATGTCGCTCAGGGTTACCTAACGTAGCTGAAGCAGTCATCAACTGGACTTTCCGCGACTGTTGATGTTCTTCGTCAACCTTGGGTTGTTGACCGCCCGCTTCCCGGTCGCTCGCTTGCTGGTCTTGATCATTGGGTGGCTGGCCCTCATCACTGGCTCGCTGCCCTTCTGTATCTGTCCGGAGAACAGACAATTGGGTTGTGTCAGGAACCAAAATACGGCGTCGTTTCCTCACTACATCTCGAGTATGTTGAGCAGTTAAGTATTTATTGAGCAGTAGCACCCTTCTCAAGGTAAGCGCTGCATGGGCGCCGAACACTCCCCTGCACACGTGTGCTTCATCCACTACAATGAACACGAGTCGGCGAATGAAATCGAGTCGTTTCCACATGGCCATTGTTTTGTGAAGGAAATCAAAGTTAGTCAGAATTATTCGATTATGCAAGACCAGGTCATGCCTCCTGGCAAACTCGACATCACCATCAATTACTCCACACGGGATTGTATGAACAGAATTCACCCTCTTCACTTCCTCAACCATCTCCTGCCATTTGAGCAGTTGATTCTGAGCCAACGCCTTTGTAGGATAAATCGCCAGCAGCGTACTTCCTGGGATTTTCACTAGTCTGTCAATGCCATGAGCTATAAACACTCTGTATAAATCGAAAGCATTTTAAGAAGGCGACTGGGAAGCCAGGCGGCTTGGAAGCCAGGCGGCTGGGAAGCCAGGTGGCTGGGAAGAAAACACTTACAGGCTTTTCCCGCTAGCAGTGCTTGTGCTAAGACTTAAATCATGTCCATCCAACAACGAATCAATTGCCCTAGCCTGGTGCACGTATAACTCGGGAGATTCAAGTGTCTCTTTCTGGAACATGTGGCACAAGGCTGTTCGAATTTCCAATGACAAGTGGTCGAAAAGACGTATGGCTTCTCGCTCAGCCGCTCGCTCGGCTTCATGGTAAACGTTCATTTGATCCTTATACCACTCCTGACCCCGCAGGTGGTCGAGCAGTCGTACGCAGTTTTGGGACCCGAAAACTGCACTGGGTGATATCACATCTAACCTCATGGCCGAATCCACGAGGACGAATAAGGATTCTTCTTCATTGTCTTCGGGGATTTTGACATCTTCGATAAAGTTTTGGTAATTTGCGCAGTCCAGATACAGGATGGAATCATCTGTGATAGGCCCATTGGTACCTACGAACTATGTGGAACGGTGTGTGGAACCGTGTGTGGAACGGCGGTGTGTGGAACGGTGTGTGGAACGGTGTATGGAACAATGAGCAAAGGCGGCGTCCTAGTCATGGCCGAACGTGTGTGCATTACCGAACTAATTTTAAGGACCCATTTGACCAAGAAGAGTAATGGGTTTTTCGACGTGTCAGCATTCAAGCAATCCACGCAATACTCTCGGACGTAATTCTTGTTCAGCAGAGTATTCTCTTTGCAGAAATTCTTCCAATTCTTCTCCAATCTAGTCAAGAACTGCTTGATTGAGACCCCCTCCTTTTTCTTTATGCTTTGCAGTGCCAGAAACACACACCTGAAACAGTTGCACTGGGTTACGAACACTCTCTACTTTAAGAGGACTAGCAATTCATGGCGCATTAAAATACTTCACGTGTCAGGTTCAAAAATCGATCACCGCACTCGACAAGTTCGGATTGCCGATAAACGAGCTCTGGCAAAGAAGCGGGAGCTCGTTCATCGGAAATGTGAACGCCCCGAGTGCGGCATCAGTCCAGTATGACGCGCATACTGCACACATGCGCACAACGCGCACGTGTCCGTACACCTGATATTTTTCACACGCCTGAAGCAGCCGTCACACACAGCGGACGGCGCCGCACTCGAAGCAGCGGTCAAAGACGGCGGTCGGGGCGAATGGGTGTCCGTTTGCGCAGCAGTACCAGAGATAGTTTCCCTGCATGGCGTCCAGACGTGTTTGGAGCCGTTCGATGCTACGGCTCAAGTTGAGCCTAGGGCAAAAGCTGCGTTGGCGGACCGCAGCTCTGGTCGACATGACCCCGTCCACGAGGCCCAGCGCCACAAAGGGCACAGCGTGGCAAAGTCGCTCGGCCTTATCCAATGCGTCAAGAGCCTGAGTGGTCAGCGTGTCTCCATCGGAGCTGGCCCGTAACTCGGATGCACACAACTGCGCCAAACAGACCAAGCCCTCGACTTGCACTTCCACGAATCCAACCCGCTCGGCGGCCGCCACCAGTGTAGCGCACTCGGCCCTGTTCTCCGTCAGGTCCACGACTATTTCTTTGCCCGCCAGATAGCAAGCGCTAGTAAACTCCAGAAGCAGCGCCGTATCCTCCTGCATCAGCAATAAATGTCCCTTCAGAGCCTGCGACGAGTACACCAAATCCGAGTCAAACCCATAGTCCGAGTGTTCGTCCGCATTTTCAGCGGTCGTAACGTCCGCATTTTCAGCGGTCGTAACGTCCGCATTTTCAGAGGTCGTAACGTCCGCATTTTCAGAGGTCGTAACGTCCGCATTTTGGGGCGCGGGGTTTGGGTGCTGTCGACTGTGCCTTCGCCGCTGTCGAATGCGCGTCTGCAGGAGCAGGAAGGGCGCCTCCACTCTCTCGATCTGTCTAATTGCCTCCTTGATGAGGAGTCTGCGTCGGCGTATCTGCCGCCAGTCGTCGGGCTTATGCTTCGCAAGGACCCTATGCAGTTGATTCGCTTGGCTCTGCCGGTTGCCGCGCAATTCCAGGGTATCGAACCGGATCGCGCGAGCGACAACCTCCTGCGTGTCGCACAGCGACTCGCCCAGAGGCCGCGGCTCCGAGTGCAACTGCTTGGCCATGGTCAGCAGCCACCGCGTCGTCTGCAACAACAATCGTCGTACTGACGCGTCCACCAGTGCCCGGCGCACCACCCGCCCGTACCGAGCCACAGTACGCAGCGACCCTCGACAATACGGACACACAGCCACACAAGCAACCGAAAAAGGCGAGATCGGCTCGACCGAACGAGGCAGAGTCGAATTCAGCACCCCCTCGCCCCCGGTGGTCGGTGGAAACTCGCCACTCTGGCCGCCGGAGTCCGGTCCACCGTCGGAAGCTAACTGCGCAGCCACTTCGAGATCCAAGTGCGCGACAGAAAAGAAGTGACCGCACGGCAGGAATATGCACGGCGATTCCCACAACCGAACTCGCCTGTACGTCTGCCACAGCACCCCATCCGAGTCCCACCACTCCTCAGCCTCCTTCGCACCAGCCTCCGGACTGAGCGGGTCAAGGCCGGCGGTGCCCTTGTCTTCGTCCGTTCGCTTGTCTTGGTCCGCGTCCTCTTGAGCCGTCTGGTCGTCGTCAGCGCGTGTAGCCTGGTCCTCCTCGTCCCGGGCCGTCTCGTGGTCTGCGCGCGTAGCCTGGTCCTCGTCGCCCCGGGCGGCCTTGGCGGTGGCCTCGTCGTGCCGGGGAGCGTATGGCCAGTCGAACAAGCCACAGTCCCCATCGTCCCAGCGTGGGTCGCCCAAGTATAGTTCCGTGTTTGCGACCGGCGTGGCCTTGACCTCTTCGGTGGCGCACTCCTGGCAGTACTTGGGTTCGGGACACGGCTCGCCGCAGACGGAGGGACACCGATGACCGCAGGCGAGCGGCTTTTCACATCGCGTGTTGCAAAGAGGCCGGTCGCAGGGGGCACTGCAGGGCATGGAGCAGGAAGAGTGCACACAGTGGGCAATACAAGGTTTGGTGCAGGGCGTGCACGGTTGCGAGCAGAGTGCACGACATGGACCATGCGTGCAGCCGCGGACGCACGGGGCACCGCAGGGCGCACAGTCGATATCGCCGTGGCACAGCGCCGCACACGTGTGTGAACAATCGTCGTACGCGCGGCCGCACAGCTCCGAACAAAGACCGGGCACACAGCCGCTCACGGTGCAGTCGCTACACCGTTCCGCACAAGAGTGCCCACAGGGTAACAACTGACCGCACATATGCGCGCACTCAGCACCGCCCGGCGCGGCCCTCCAGCACTCAACCTCTTGCTCGTGACCGCAGAACACAAACTTGTGTGCAACTCGCTCTCTGCACTTGTACAACGCAGTGGTGGTGCCCAGGGCGGTGGTGCCCAGGGTGGTCGAGCCCAATGGGGCGGTCGGGGTGGCGAAGAACTGACGGTGCTCCCAGCAAGCGATTTTGGTTAGTCGGTGTCCGCAGTCCTGGAGGGTGATATCCACGTTTAGCAGTATTTCACAGCGGTCGGGACAGGGTTGTCCGCAGCGTTTTGGGCAGGGGTGGCCGCAGTCGAATGGCGCGGCGGAACAGGGTACGAGACAGGGGACGAGTGCGTGAGCCCAGTCGGGGTGACACTTGTTTGAACACTTGTGACCGCAGCCAAGCGGTTTGGGGCACTGTTGACTGCATCCGCCCTCTGGCGCGTGCATGATAAAGTCGTTCGGCCGGGCAACCTCCAAGTAGATGTCTGGGTGATTCACACACGCGAGCGGCAGGGCGGGTCCGATGCAATCGTCTTGCGACAACAAACGAATTATTTGCGCCCACATCGGCACCGTTCGGGCCGTCGCCGAGTTACCCAAAATGTACATTCCATGTCGAGCTCGAGACAGCAACACGTTGATACGGTTCGCGCTCTTAAGGAAACCGCAACTACGCTCCTCGTTACTACGCACCACTGAAATTATGACCACATCCGCCTCCTCACCCTGGAAGTTGTCCACAGTAGCAATACGCAAGGAACTCAATAGCGACGAACGCACCGCCTGCCGTCTCTCCCCAGTGGACTCCAACGTGACAGCGTCGCCGATAACAGTATCGCCGGTGGCTGTAGGCGTAACGTCCACGTCCGCCGCCAGTCCGGCCCTGAGTAGATCATCTTGGTCGCCTTCGCCCAGAGCAATCACAAAATGGCTGCCGAGTGCTTTTTTGAGCTTGATCAACTGGCCTAAGTATGGGGTCAACACCGCTATCTGCTTGCTGCCATAGACTCCTTGTCGCACTAGGTGCTTAACCAGTCCCACCGCCATTTGTACCTCGAAGTCATTGAAGCGGCTTCCGTGAGGAGACGCGTCTGCCGCGGCTTCTGGTTCCCGGTGATCGAACCAGAACAGGCGCTTCCGCATTCCCACTACCGGCGGATAAACCGAGACCGAGGGTGCATCGAGCAGGTCAGGATAAATGGTGGAAGAGATTAGTCGGGAGATGCTCGGATGCATCCTCCTCTGTGTGGCGAGCGTGTCGTAGGGAATTCGCATACCCGTCCCGGGTCTGGGCGAGACCAGTCTCTCAAATAAAGACACATCGAAGGAGTACTGGGCGCCTTGCCAGCTTTCAACGCTCAAGTCGTAGTTCTGGCTATGCGGCCGTAGCTGCTGGTGGTCCCCGATCAAGATGACATGCTCAACAGAGGGCAACAGTGAGGTCAACAGGTGAGCCTCCAATACTTCGCCAGCTTCTTCACACAACAAAACTTTAGCCCGTAAACGTCGCAGCGTCTCCAGATTCCGAGTCAGCCCGGTGGTAGTCAACCCGACCACGTCAGAAGCCTGCAGCAGACGTAGCCCCTTCTCATCGCGAACGCGATAAAAGTCTTCCCTGTCCTCCACGTAATCAAAAAGGACGCCTGTAATGCTGTTGCAAGCATCTTTGTCCAGCATCTCAAACCAGTAGTCGAGCAAACGCGACCGTTCGGCAGCTGTCAGTGTCCACAGATCCGCCTCCAACAGGTCTTTGACTGGCCGCTCCGAGTCTATTTCCGGGTCCACCATTTCGCTCACACGTCCCTCAAACATACCATATAGCCATTCTCGCACTTGTTGCAAACCCTCTACCGCTGACTGCTCTACTTCCGACTGCTGCAGACTAAAGAGCTGATCGTAATGACGGGGGTGATACTCGCTTAAATAGTCTTCCAGTCGATCGCAACAGGACATGCTGCTCATGCATTGCTTGAGCTCCTTCGCTCGGCCTGCCAACTTCTTTCGGGCGCGATAGAGCGCATCTCTTTCACCCCGCGTTTCCATAAACTGGTGCACTTGATCGAAATATCGGTATTGGGAGTCTATGACCTCCGATTTGCAACCGCCTCCAATACGAATGACCGATTTGGTTATTTCTTTGCCAATAAGATCTTCCAATAACTGATCTAAGGCATGGTTAGTATAGCACACACACACGATCGGTCCTAGATCGCATTTTTGCTTATTCGCCAGCAGCACCTTGATCAACGAAACACCTGTGAAGCTTTTGCCAGTACCGGGTGGTCCTTGTATGAGGGCAATGGATCTTTGTAACGCATTTATCAGGGCGACCGCCTGGCCATGGTCCAAGGTCGTGACCTCTTCCAATTCCGCTACATCAAATGTCTCGCCCACTTTCAACAAAGGACCTTCCGTCACTGTCCGACTAGAAAAGTCTCCGTCCCGCTTCTTCAGGCAGCTGAGGTCAAAGGCAAAGTCCGGCGCCAGACTATACGTCGGAGGTGGGACCTGTAGTGCTCGGGCTGGATCTTCCGGTGCTAGGAATTGCGCAAAAGGCATGGTCATGCTTCGCGCCATGCTTTTCAGGGCCTCCAGTGTAGACCGGAAAGACTCCAAGACGACTCCAGGAAACTCAACCAATCGCAAATCGGATTTCATATGCTGCCGCCGGTAAGCGTCGAATACACATGCCACGTTCTCACCCGTCATTTCCACCACATGCAGCAAAACCTTAGCCGTGTGTGGGTCATCCGAAAGCATTTCCAACAGCGTTGGCGACCTATTTCCCTTCTTGGCCGGTTTCTCGACGACGGTACAGAATACCAGAATGCCACACGATCCCAGGAGACATACGAGAGACCCGAGTTGAAGGCGTCTCGTAACTCGCCACCACTCCGCCGGTTTCCATGAGAAAAGCCGCTGGTCCTCCGGCTGCGGAAATTCTACGGTGATTTCCAACCCGCGCACTGGCTCAATGTTCAACCGTGTTACTCGCAAGTCTCGATACACGCGTGTGCCTCCCTGCTTGCCCTTCCCGGTTTCCTTCGCGTCGCCTTCGTGCAACTCAGAACTGACCGCTCCAATCAGTTGACCAACTGTGTCTGCTCGTAGCAGTCGAAACTGCCGGTCAAGCAAACCTGCGAGACCTGACAAATGCCAATTCCTCGGGTTCACGGGAGGCAAATACGGAGCACGCATGCACTGGACTTCCGCGTAAGTGGGAAGGACCATGATTCGGCTTATGTCGGCATGATCGTTATCGTGCCGACCCCCTGGGGCTTCCTTTCTTCTGTAAGCCCCTCGCGGCCTTTCCTGGCTCACGACGGCATCATCGCCACTGGAGTTTCCGCCACCACTGTCGTTGGAGGCAGTGGCGTCTTCGGAGCCGTCGACTTCAGAGTCGGGGTCTTGAGTTCTGGCAGTAGCAATGACTTGAAACTGGGACGGCAGGTCGTTACCCACCTCGAACAGATCTAGAACCCGCTCCATACATGACCGCGTTTTTTGCAAAAGCCAGGAAAGCTCCGGAGTATAGACTCCCTTGAGCACGGCCTGCAGTCTCTCCGTGACTCTGGCCAGCCGTACCTGAACCTTCGCGTCCGAATTGAGCATGACCATCCGCTCAAAAAAATGTATCGACAACCGAATTTGCTCAATTCGCTCAACCAACGGAATCTGTTTTTGGAGCGTTTCAATCTCGCCGCTTCGGGTCCTCTCCAAGACAGTGGTTGTGAACTCCACCCACTTCATTCCGCGCACGCCCGAAAATCCGTACATAAAGTTGAAAACTGTTGCCACGCTCCTTTCCAACAAAAGTGACTCTGACACATACGCGTCGGTAAACACCCGTTGCAGCGGCATAACTCCACGCTCGAATAATGAATAACTGTCTGACAACGACGTCACCTCCGTCGGAACAGCATCTGCCAGCTGCTCAATGCGCTGCAGCCCGCCTTCTTCGGCCAACTTTAGTACTACGCGCTGCGCCATGTCCTCGTCTTGCCTAACGAAAAAGCTCGCCTTCTGAAATAGTGCTAACAGCTGTTCCAAGGTCGTGGGTCCGTTTGGGCCTCCTCTTGCCGGCATACTTCTCGTCCACGCGTCAAAAGGGTTCTCATTCCAGTACCCATCATACCTTCGACGACTCGGGGCTTTCCTCTTCGGTACTTGGTCACCCCAACACCATTTCGTTTTTTGTTCGCTTTTGCGCTCTGTTTGCCCGCGGGGTGCGTCTTGCCTGTGCATATTCCCCCAAAATTTCCTAATGATCAGACAGCAATGACTAGATTTATCACTGTCTGTGTTCACGTCCTAACCGATGCCCTTACGTTGTAATGGTGCTCCTGCAGGGCTCGGGCCGTTGCGCGAGGAAGATTAAAAACAGCGAAGACAAACAGCAGACTACGCACGCGACAAAGAAGATGATGGGTGATAGTGTGAACGGCAGTGTCAGCGGACTCAAGCCACCGGACTCAAGCCATCGGACTCAAGCCACCGGAATCAAACGACCGGAATCAAACGACCGGACCCTGCGGTTATAGCACTTTCCGTTTTTTGTTGCTGGCGTGGTTGCTGTCTCCTTTTCGTTTGGCCCCGGAGGGCTCTCCGTCATCTGCGAGTTCGTCATCATCGTCAACTCGGTTGGCGAGAAAGGCTTGTTGGGCTCTCAGTCGGCTCTTCCGAACTCCAAGTACCTCCTCGTGATCTTCTGGCTCGCTGGCGTTAATTTCCTTGACCTCTGCGGGTATCTCTTCGTCTCTGCAAAGCCGGCCAGCTTGTTCAAGGAGTTCTCGGACCCGTTCGCTTTCCTTGACGGAGGCGGACTCGGGAGGGTTTACAGTGGTGGCTGTGGGCATCATGGATGCGGTGGGTGCGGCGGAAGACTCTGAGCGTTCGTCTAGACGGTCATCATGTTCATAGAATTGGTTATAGATGTTGTCGCCAAACATCTCACGATCTATAGCGTCGAACGCGTGTTCTTCCTGATCATTACGGGCCATAAATCGAACCAGCTCGGGTGGTGTGGTAATATGTGTATTACTACTTGTGTCCTTTTGAGCCAGAAGATTTCGTAGCTTTTCCTCACGTTCCTCTTCATTAAACTCCGTTGAAAACATTCCCGCTTGAATAATCTGTTCATCAATCGACAACTTGTGCTGTGCCTTTGCCAATATAAGTTCCTCAACCGGTGAGTCTGTAACAAACCTGAAGACACGCACTTCGCGCTTCTGACCCACTCGATGTGCACGAGCCTGAGCCTGTAAATCAGCATGAGGATTCCAATCGCTATCGAATAATATAACTGTATCACCTGCCTGTAGATTCAGACCTAACCCTCCGGCACGTGTAGACAACATAAATATATGCGTCTCTGACATTGGATCATTAAAGTCATCCATACGATCCTGTCGATCCGATATTATCATGGAACCATCCAATCGATGGAATTTATAACCTCTTAAGTCAAAGTAATCACCCAATATATCCATTACTGCAGTCATCTGAGAAAATATTAGTATCTTATGACCAAATTGAAGTAATTTTGGTAACATGCGATCCAATACTTCAAATTTACCACTAACTCGATATAAATTATCATCAATGTTATACATATCCGCAAATAGATATGGATGATTAACTGCCTTACGTAATTGCATTATACCATTCGCTACAGATTTTTGAGTTATACGACCTGTCTGATCCCGAACCTTTAAACACTTGTTAACTAATTGATAGTACAAGAATTTTTGCCATGATGAAAGCGCAATCCGAATAACATATTCGCGCTTCGTCGGCAAATCAGTCAATACATCTGCCTTTACTCGTCGAAGCAAGAACGGTCTTAATACCAGATGAAGTCTGTTAATTACTACCAGCTTCTCCTCTTCCGTTAACGACACTTCCTCTTCGGCAAACTGCTCTTTAAACGGCTCTTCGAACCAACGCTCGAAATCTTCTCCGCTTGCAAACGTGTGCGGCATAAGGAAATTAAGCAAACTCCATAATTCATTCAAGTTGTTTTGCAACGGAGTACCAGTAAGAAGGAGTCTATGAGTGGATTTGAACTCTCCCAGGGTTGCATGGAACTTGGATTTGACATTCTTCATTTTATGGCCCTCATCAACAATGATGAAGCGCCATTTGACTGCTCCCAATACTTTCTTCTCTCTCAAAATATACTCAAATGTCGTCAGTAATACATTGTACCGGCCTCGCTTGACTTGGTAGTTCAGCTCCCTTCGGTCATTCTTATTTCCTCTATATTGCAGCAAAGTCAGTGACGGCGCCCACTTCGCGAACTCGCTAGCCCAGTTAGGCAGCGTTGAAAGCGGAACAGCGATTAAATGAGGACCCTTGTTGTTTTTGAACTCTTGAAGGTAAGCAACTAGGGAAATAGTCTGAATGGTTTTACCCAGACCCATCTCATCGGCCAGAATCCCGCTAAGGTTGTTGTTGTAAAGCGAGACAAGGAAGTCCAGCCCGGCAAGTTGATAAGGCATAAGGGTACCCCCTACCAAAGACTTGGGCTGGCCTACGTCTTCGCGTACTCTGTGGGAAAGCGTCAGGTACTGAGGCTTCTTGGTTTCAGTCTCTTCGTCAGAAACCTCCTGATCAGGTTTCATCTCTGCCTCTTCAATCTCGCTTGCAACGCCAACTGCCGTCGAAGAAGGGGTGAGCCCTTTCTTCGCCAGCCTGGCCAGTTCTCTCTGGCGTTTCTTCTCTCTGTCTTTATCTGCCTCACGCTTTCTTCTTGCCTCGTTTTGAACGCGCTCTGTCTGAATCTTTGACCCGATATCTTGAAGCAGTTGTTCGGTATTCTCCAAAATCTCTTGAATCCTTTGGTTCTTCACATTCTTGACTAAAGCGAGGTAGGCGTCCATATTGCGCTCTCTCAAAGCCTTCATCCTTTCCCTCTGCGCCCGTTCCGCCTCTTGCTGCTTTTTAATCTCAAGGGTCGTCATTCGTGTCCCTGCTTCCTTGGCAATGGATCCGAATGTATGTCTTTTCTTTTGTTTGCTATCTATCCAATGTCTACCATTACCACATACATCTTCTCTTAACCTAATAGTTCTAGCTAGTTGCAATCGGCCGGCAGGAAACTTGTGTTTCCTGAAGTTGGATAGAGACACGAATAGAGGAACGTGGTGCACATAGTTCGGAGGCGGGCACATCGTCCTGTTGGCGCTTAGAGTACTTCCCTTGTCGGACATGAGAGTACGGATCTTCACCAACACATCCTCCTTACGGTCCGCGTCCATTAACTTGCTCGCAGAGTGCCTGTAGCTTTTCGGAATGTTACCTGCAATGCACGACAACGTACCCACGGCATCATTAGTAGCAATAAAGTTATATACGTCTTCCGGTGTCCTCAACGAGTGCTTCAGGAACTTGCGCGACAAAATGGTTTGCAAAGTTCGCAAATTCTCCAATCGCACAGCGTAACTCATGTGTGCTGCAGTCTCTCCCGGCAGACACACTAGCCGACTGTACTTGCTAGACGTGTCCTTGAGGTAACGCTGTGCCAAGGTCGCCCGCGTCCACCGGTCGTGACTCATGCCACCACCCACTCCACTACTTATTCCACTACTTGTGACCCGACCGCTTCCCGCCCCACCTGTGCCCTGACTCGCTCCCGCCGGCCCTCCCGTGCTACTCGTCGGGCTACCCACTTGCTGCTGTAGCGCCAACTGCTTCGCCACGGACGGGTCCAGGTTGTCCTTCAAGTACTCCACGATCCGCGGATCCGGAACAATGCCTCGTTTGACTAAACGGTAGACGGCCAACAGAGCTTGGCCGTACTCAATGTACTTCTGCATCATTGCCGTCCGAGGCACCGCATGCGGCGAATGCTGAACGGCGGACACCCCTGGAACCTTCGTACCAACCGTCTCCAGCACTGCATCAAACACCTGCTTCTCCCTCTCGCTCAACTGCGCATAACGCAGCCAAAGATCCTCCATCCACAAAATACCCAGTGTTAAGAGTCAAAAAAATTCTATTTCTTCTTCATGCCAGCAGCAGCCTTCTTCATCGCTGCCTGATCCGCCTTCATCTTTTGCTTGTAGGCAATTTGGTCATCATCTTCGTCAGCTTTTTGTGCCTTGGCCTTCTTCAAAGGCTTCTTCTTACCACCCTAACAACAAGCGCGTATCTCCCAACCGGACGGGGATAAGGGGGCGGTTCCTCCACGTTAATGACACAACCCCCAGGGTCAGGAAAGGACACCCAAACTGGGACGTGGGGGAAGATGTAGGCAGGAGGTGTAACATACGTCGTTGTTGAGAACCATAAATACCCAGAGTGAAAATTCCTCGGTTGCCCCGTGTGTGCCTGATTTAATTTATGCTAAGACGGTGGTACCCCATAAGGTTGTTAGATGACGGATCGCTGCTATTGTATGAATATAAGAACGGCCAAATACCCTACAGGTCGTCGCAGTTAGAGGGGCGGCCATCTTCGGTCGGCGAACGGGCTAGGGTTCCGGCGAGTGAGTGTCGATCCGAGTCTGGAGCTGAGGGCGAGACGCGTACGTCTTTGAGCCGGGGTCGTCGTAAGTTGGCTTGGACCTTGAGTCGTTGCTTTAATCGTTATATGCGAATGGTAAGCAGCTGCGCCCGAAAGGTACCGTGGGTAGCCATCCTGTTTTACTTGCACTTCTTTCCCGTGTGGGTGTTATCGTTCGTTGCGCCTGCGGCAATTTTGTGGACGCGGAGTCGTTTGCTGATGGTCTTGTACACCCTGTTGGTTGTCTGGATCTATTATCCTCGGGACGCACCCAAGATCTTTCAGTACCTGCAGCTGTTGTACTTTTTCGAAATTCCACGGTACTACAAGGAAAGCTCGTTCAGAATACTGTACCCCCAACAGCACCCTCAACTCTGTAAGATTTTGTGTCTGTTCGATGACGCGGTAGAGTGGCAACAACGACCTGACGGTCACAAGCACAAGGAGATAGGTCTGACTCCTGAGGCCATTGTGGTCCTGACTGCGTTTAAGCCGACTGCGCTCAAGCTAACAGCGCTCAAGCAAAAGGCTGCGATAGACGGGCGCGTGGTCAAGACAGTGGCAAGCGAATATCCTTGTGATATCTGGATGTGTGCTCCGCATGGTTTTACTTCCAACGGTTGGGGCCAGCTGAGTATGTGCCCGTTCTTTAATGATATAATGAACTGCGTGTCCACCGCTCTGTACTACTTTGGACACCTAATAATTGCCTACACGTCCCTACTCGGAAACCCTCATCCGGTAACCTCTGAAGCCATCGATCGTACACTTGGTCAACGTCGGGCGATCTCGATTGTACCCGGCGGGTTCGAAGAGGCCACCATCATGAGTCACAATATCGACCGGCTCTACTTACTCAAACGCTACGGCATCTTCAAGAAGGCCGTCGACCACTGTGCCGGCCTCGTGCCGTACTTCACCTTCGGCGAAAACCGAGCCTACTACAACCTCCAAGGGTTCTGGAAAATCAGACAAACCCTAAACCACTTCTCCATACCCGGCGTCATCCCCTGGGGCATGTTCCTGTGGCTCCCAAAAACAAACATGTTCCATATCATCGTCGGTAAACGGATCACCCCGCAAGATGGAGAGTCAGTTCTAGACCTCAAAACGAGGTACCTGGAGCAACTTACTGAGCTACACGACATCTACGGAAAAGAATACTATAAAAACACGTATAATCATCTCGAAATTTGGTAACACTTTTTACGCAGTTTTTATTTTGCGTGTTGTGTAAAGTGCGCACACTAAATCGAACTGCAAAAAACGATTGCGACCAGGGTTGGACGCTATAATTGCGGCTTTAGATGGACTTGGTGCTAACCGAGCTTCGGATCGCGTGGGCGTCCATCTTGACCGTCGACTTGCTGGCTAGTGCTCGCCCACGTTGCAGTTGGTGGTGGCAACTTTCCGAACATGGTTTTCGGGGTCCATGCCGCTGTTGACGTCTTCCTCATCGCACTCGCTACTCTTGATGCCATCGATTGTATGTCGTAACAGGAACCGTTTCCCATCCACTTTGGCCCTCGAGTCGCTGTCTGGCCGCGACGCGTCAGGATTTGGCTTGTCCGAGTGGTCAGCTGCTGGACTGAGGTCGGCGGCGGTGCTTGTTCCGTCCCTGAGCTCGGTCGCAGCGCTTGGCTGGACCACGGGTTCCGCTTCGCCTCCCTCCGTGAGTAGCCACGTACGGTTAGGGTTTTCGCGGGAAAGGCTCTCTTCGGCAGGGTTGTCGTCTTTGGCTGAAGTGTGTGCAAACGCGTCCGCGCGATTAGAGACACGGTATGGACCTTCGAAGTACAGCGCTCTAAAGCACGCTTCTACAATCGACAACGCTTCAGAGGTGTCAGTGGAAGCAAGGTACTTGGAGTGCAAATGCGTGTGCGGTTCCCATTTCAGACGGAAAGTACTCGCTTCCGTGAGCGACCGCGCCTGCGCCCTCTCGAAGTAGGACGCGTGCATGTGAGGACACAGCATCGCCAGCAAGACGGAGTACGCGCCCCGCTGCATCAAGTTAATTCGGAGGTAGGAGGCGTCCGGCTCCTCCAAAATTCGGACCAACATCGCCGCTTCACTCCCGACCTGGGCCGGACTGCTTCGACACATTACGGTCAGATCTCGACCTTCCTCAAACCACCTGCCTGAAAGCAACGTCTGCGAGACCCATGAGAGCCGTTCCCATTCGCCGGGGGTAACGCGCGGGTCATCCGAGAGACAGACGGTTCGGTATATTAGAAACGCCTCGAACGCCATCGAAGCCGGCGCGACGCAGTCGACGCATCTCCGGCGTTGTGCGCTTCCTGTCTGCACTGCCTCGCTCACAACCCCTTGGCCGTTCCAGTCCTCTTGGCCGTTCCAGTCCTCTTGGCCGTTTCCGCCCTCTTGACCGTTCCCGCCCTCTTGACCGTTCCCGCCCTTTTGACCGTTCCCGCCCTCTTGACCGTTCCCGCCTTCTTGACCGTTCCCGCCCTCTTGACCGTTCCCGCCCTTTCGGCCGGTCCCCCCCTCCTGTCGAGTCAGCTTGAGGATGGTGCGCACTCGAACATCCTGGGGCGCGAAGGTGCGGATCAAGAGACAAATTTGTTCGACGTTTGCGACCTCCAGCGGCAAGTAGCCGAGGGAGTTCGCCAGAGCGACCTCGCCGAACGTGTTCAGCTGCTTGGTGGCTTGTTCGCTTGCGGCACAGGAAGACTGGAAGACAACTTCGACCAGCTTCTTCGCCACAGGTTCTACGCGTACATTGAGAGCTTGGATCCAATCCATGAAAATCAGAGGTTGAACAGGGTTCTTGGGATTGGTCTGGAGCAAGACGGTGACCAGGGCGCTCCCTACCGGTCCGTCAGCCACCTCCTCGGAGCCGGCTGGCTCGATCAGTTGTGTCTTTGCCAGTTCCAGCAGTTCCTTCGACTTTTGGAGCACAGTAGGCGAGTAGCCAGCGCACAACAAAAGGAGAGACAGGGCGATCTGGCATACCGGCAAGGACAACTCGCTCGGTGGGGGTACTGCCACTCCTGTGGTCTGTGGTCCCTCTGTGGTCTGTGGTCCCTCTGTGGTCTGTGGTCCCCCTGTGGCCTGTGGTCCCCCTGTGGCCTGAGGTCCCCCTGTGGCCTGTGGTCCCCCTATGACCTGAGGTCCCCCTGTGGCCTGTGTCGTTTGCTCCTTAGAAAGTTCGTTAGTTAGCAACATGGCGTAGAGTTTCTCGAAGACTGGTGTGGCTAGGGGGGCGCCTACTCGCTGGATGACTTGTGGAAGTGCCCGGGTGGCGAGAGCCGTTGCGCCTGCCTGTGGTGGGGTCTGGAGGTCGGAGGCGGTGAGGTCAGCGCGCAGTTTACGGCAGATGTCTCTAAGCATGCCATCGAGGAGGTCGCGAGGACCACGAGTCCGGCAGGTGTGGTGAAGGTGGCAAAGGAGTGCGAGTGTCGTGACGAGGTCGTCTGCGCTGAGGTCTTCGTCGCAGGCGAGTGCGAGATTGCACCAGTGCACGAGTCGTTGTGCAACGAACGGTTCGCGGAGCCAGGCGCTCGGGACGACGAAAAGCAGCTGCCGTACATCTGTATGTTGTTGCGCCGCCAGTTTGCGTAACGTCGAGTCCAGAATGTCGGAAGCTTTGCGCACGTTCGTGTCGGTCGCCAGCCATAATCTCTCGTCCAGTAGGAACAGAGTCTCGAAGTCCAACTGTGCGCCCGCTATCAGAATCAGGTTGTACACACACTCCGCTGCGTAATAGAGCACGTAATTGTCCGCCGAAATTGAATCCTCAATTACCGCACTCATCGAACATAACACGCGTGACGCACTGGTCGAATCCGCCCGTACCACCCCCAACAATGCCACCAACCCGCCCACCACTACTTCCCGTGACCGCGACCCGCGACCGCCCACCACCGGTCGCAACTGAATCTTCGCCGCCGCGCATGCCGCC